GACGGATCCATCGGGCAAATATTTAATACGAAACACCCATTTAGAGCCCACGATGTTGGTGTTGGCAGGGCGAGGAACCAAAGTCCAAGTATCATTTTGTTGTAACGCTCGAATTTCTTCATCCATGGCAGCCACCCAAGCAGGATTCTTAGCCGCAGATTTGAATCCTTTTGGCTCAGTGGATGCAAGAAGAGCAGAGAGAAGTCCAGATGAGCCCAACATACCAAGATTTGCTGGATGACGAGTCTTGAATATACCAGCTTTGGCGCGTGTGATCATAGGATGAGTGCCCAAAGAAGAGAAATCAACAGGAGGTTCAATAGAGGTTGAATTAGAAGTCGAGGGTGACAAAGTGGAACCTGCAAGAGAAGTATCAACCTGCACAGACTCATCTACAAGGTCAGAACAAATATCACACGGGGATGAACTGGATTGAGGAATGTGCGGTGATGAAGTGGTAGGGGGGGATGAATCAATATGATGAAGATGTGGTTCCAAGAAATTTGAAATAGGAATAGTGGAAAGAGGTTGGGCTTGGGAGCTAGGGATAGCAGGAAAGTGAGTTTCATCAAATTGAGCATGGCAGGTGATATATAGCTTAGTGGTGGCGGGATCAAGACAGCGGAACCCTTTATGAACAGGACTATAACCCAAAAAAATACAAGGAATGCTGCGGGGAGAAAGCTTGTTAGGCATATAATCACGCAAATAAGGATAAACACGACAACCAAAGGGATGAAAATTGTCATAATGTGGAGTGTAGCCATAAAGGAGTTCAAAGGGTGACTTACCTCCAAGAAGTGGAGTAGGCAACCGGTTGATAATATAAGCTGCAGTGCTGAAGGCGTCAACCCAAAAACGAGGAGAAAGATGAGAGTGAAAGAGAAGGGCCAAGCCAGTCTCAGTCACATGACGATGTTTTCTCTCAACACGACCATTTTGAGCAGGTGTATATGGACAAGAGAGTTGATGGTGGATGCCAGAATTACGTAAATGAGTTTTGAAACAAGTACTAGTAAATTCGGTACCACCATCGCTTTGAAATACCTTGATACGAGAAGAATATTGATTTTCCACAAATTTTTGAAATTGAAGAAAAATATCAAAAAAATCAGATTTAAATTTTAAAGGGTAAAACCAAGTGAATCGAGAATAATCATCAATAAAAATAGCATAATAAAGAAAACCCGAATTTGATTTGACGGGAGAAGGACCCCAAAGATCACAATGAATAAGATCTAACACATGAGACGACCTACGTTCATTGCGGGAATAAGGCAATCGATGGCTTTTCGCAAGCTGACAACTATTACATAATGATGGAGAAGGCAATAAAGACGTAAGAGAAAGATGACCTTTTTTATTTAAAAAAGAAATAACAGAATGATTCACATGACCCAGACGAGCATGCCATAAATCATATGAAGCACGTAAAGATTTGTTTTTAAGGGCTGAAATAAAAGCAGAGTTGCCGCGCTCCAGCACATATAGCCCTCCATCTCTTTTACCGGTTGCCACCACCCTTCCTGTTTGATGATTCTGGATAGTAATAAGATTATGAGTAAATGTAACGGAGAGAGGAAAATCAGACGTTAATTTACTTATGGAAAGAAGATTTTTAGTGAGGTGAGGGACAACCAAGACATCTAATAAGTGAATATTTGGAACAGGAGAAAGAGTACCGATGTGGGTAATGGGTAGGAATGCACCGTTTCCTACAATCACAGAGTCCTTACCCGTGTAATTTTTAGACTGATCCAGAATTGATGGGTCGGCAGTCATATGGGCCGAAGCTCCAGTGTCCAAAAACCAATCAGCAGCATCGGGTCCAGCAATAGAACATGACGTGTTAAAGGCTTCAGCAAGGTGAGCATGAGAAGAATCAGGTCGAACATACCGTTGGTTGCAGCGGTCAGCATAATGGCCCTCTTTGCGGCATATTTGGCAATGAGGTGGTCGACGACCCTGACTTGAGTGGGTTCGTCCTCGATTAGAAGAGTTGTTTTTGTGAGAATAAGAACGACCTCGCTGGTTGGTAAAGGAAGCAGGGTGACTTTCATGGGTGCGGCCACGATTAGTGGCTATGAATGCTGTAGGAGTGGAGTCAGAGGACTCAAGGGAGCGCTGGAACAACTCAAAACTTTCAGTTTTAGAGACTAGATCTGCAAAACAGGGGATAGGGGTGAGAGCCATCTGAGCAGTAGAAAAAGCTGAAAATTCGGTGCCGAGTCCACGAAGGAACCAATGCACTTTATCAATGTCCTCGACGGGTCTGCCAATGGCATGAAGTTGGTCACAAATTTTTTTGAAGGCACGGGCATACTCAGCAACAGGTTTTGTGCCACGTTTCATCAACTGCAAGTCATCCTTGAGTCTCAGTTCACGAGCTTTTGACTGATGGCTGTACGTAGTTTCCAACGCAAGCCAAACATCACGTGCAGTAGAGAGACCAACGACAACAGCCATGGCTTCCTCAGTGAGAGAGGAGAGCAGGAGACAGAGAAGTCGTTGATCGGCTGCTCTCCATGCCAAATATTTGGGGTTGAATGTTGAGGAGGTTTCTGGTTCAAAGCGAGGTGGTGGAACCATAGTTCCATCGACATAGCCCAGCATGTCTTGACTCTCAAGAAGAGGGAGAAGTTGGCTTTTCCAAAGAAGATAATTGGAGGAAGAAAGTTTGATGGTGATCATATGGATTAGAGTATTGAAAGGAAGAAGATGATAACAAGATTCGGAAGCCATAGAGAAGAAAGGATCAGGGTTGTTAAACCGAAAGGGCTCTGATACCATGTGAATGTTTGATTAATCCACCACACCCAAATGGTGGTGAGAGTTCTCTTATTTATAATCATTTACAGAATACAGAAATAAGGTAAATTACAAATAATAAGGAAATAGCGATAAAAGGAAAGAATAATAAATGAATACAATATATTTGCATTTAGTAAAAGAGAAAATATGGTAACCCGTAATGTAAGGCAAATATCTAGATATTTGCCTTAATGAACGGTCAACTATCCTTAACACAACCCGATTGTGACTTGTGAATATTTAATGTTTGAATTTTATGAGATTTCAGTTATTAATATAGCATATATGATAGATAAAGTAAGATTTTTTTTTTTTTTAAATAGTTAAAAGAGAGAGGAAAGTGACAATGCAACATGAAAATAAAGGGTTAGATTGGATTGGAATTATGAACTCCATTCTTGCTTGAATAACCAACTCAAAATTTTAGGTTGGTCCAAAAACTTTTCCAAATCCTCAGTGGTTTCGTTTTCCTACACTAGTAGTTCAGCCTTTCTGATGTAGGCTCATAGGTCTAACCAACCTTAAGCTGATAATAGTATCTTTTGCCTCTTCGCTACTACAAAAGCTAATAGAAAGTAGACCTCCACTTATTTCTTTGTATATAGAGTTAGTTTAGCTTGATTTTAAAGCGATAGATAAACCGGACTCAATCACACATGAACAGATTCTTGGATGGAATCTGGTTCGCACAACAACTCATCCGTTCAGACTCTTCACCTATCAATACATCCCAGATAGTATACTGGTTTAACCCAAGAACCAGGAGAATAAATAGGAGAATAGTTTTTTGGGTTAGATATATGTAAATCTTAGGGGGAAAAAGAAAGAAAAAAGGGACCACATGATAGGGGAAGAAGAAGCAGGCACGCTTCAGATGTCATGAATAAGGCAAAGTATTAGACGACAAAATTAGCTTTTTGATATTTATATTTTATAGTTGACAACGCCCACTTTTTTGGCTGTTCAGAATTGTGGTTGTGGTTCATTTAAATCGAAAGTGAAATATTTTTAAAAGGGGTAAATGTTAGAGTATGGTTAAATACATCTAGATAGTTAAATTTAGTAAAACTATATCTGTAGTAAATTGAACGGTATATATCCTCTCATATATATCCTCTCATATATATCCTCTTACACAGAGATTTGAGGATGTATATTCTCTTTTATTCATATTTTTAGCAAGAGTTCTTTTACTTTCTATTCTTTATATTCTCTATTATATGTATTCATGAATACAAATTCTTAGCCAAAGTTTTCTTTGCATTTTTTTATTTTTTATCTTTTTTGTATTCATCTAGATCGAGGGGTACCTTGTGTCGTCCCTAAGAATGTAAAAATAAATGGAGAGCGGGAGAGGCGTTGGGGAAAGGGTAGCATTTACAGCCACATCCTGTGCAATCCCCTTCTCCCAACATCACTGTTATTCAACTATTTCTCTCTCTTACTAATGAGTTTAGGGTTGCTATTCATAGACAGGGCAAGCAAGCATAGCCATCCTTTCCTTCTGAAAAACTTTTATAATGTATTCTTATGCATTACGTCTCTGTTTTCTCTCTCTAAACATTAATTGATTGGGATTGCAAGCTAACCACCCACCCTTCCCTTCTCGTGTCTTCCCCTTTCCCTTATACATTTAAGGTACATATACAAGTGATTTGGTGTTAGCGGCTATCACAGTTTACTCGATCATATCCATCGAGAATGGACTCATGTTTTGTTCGTAATATCGAGACATCTCGAAGATTCATCCACTAGGATTCTATTAAGGTATTAGACCCTCCTATGTCCATGTCATATGATTTACAGACTATGTATTGGATAGTGGGTGTATGATCTAACTTTCGACCCATTACACCCGTGTTGTCTGACATTGTCCTTGAAAAATCTATTTCGAGTATGAAATTAGGTCTAATCCCTATTTAAATGAGGAATAGAGGAAGGAGTTGATAGAGATTTGTTTCTTTAGCTAAATAGGGTTGGGAATGGAGTTTATATACCTCGACTCCTTCCCGGCCCAAACTCTCGTCGATTCTGCTCATTTTATATACATATGTATATGAAATATTATGTTGCTGAAATTTGAATTTTTGTAAATTTTATTAAATGTTATATTATGTTTTTTTTTTGTTAATCAAATGTTATCGATTTTTTTTTAGTAATCTCTACTCCAGTTTATACAAAAATAAATGAATTTTTTCTTTTGCATGGATGGGACGGAAGGCTTTTCTGTCCCCGCCTCGTGGACATCTCTATTTTCACTCTTTAGATCTAGGATTAGATGATTATTCAGTTCCTAAGGTTTCGAACCAGGTAAAGATCCACATGTGTAATGTATAATTGTATTATAAATAAAAACTATATTATAAAATTAATGGTAAAGTGAGTATATTTGACTCAAACCCATAATAAAGCCAATTAAATTCTTTTATGGGTTTGTGTTTTTAATTTAATATGTAAAGATAGAATTCATAATTTTAGGAGAGGGCTAAATTGAAAATTTTGTAAGAGATTAGGGACTATTGTGTAATTGTGTAATATTTATGTTAATACATATATATAAAAGACAATATTTGGGGCATTCAGAGAAAAGTGTTGGCTTTTCGTATCTGCCGAGTTAAGACTTTATGCCGTCCAATGAAATGATCCAAACCCAAATTCAGAGATGAGCGGCGCCACCGCCACCGCCACCGCCAACCGTCTTGTTCCCCATCCCCTTCTCCTTCTCCAGTCCATCCGCCGTCGCCGCCGCCGCCCTTAAACCCCTTCTCATGGTCACCGCCGCTACTCCCACCCCCAAGCGCAGTAAACTGGCTCTCCACCCTCACCACCACCGCCCCTCTCCGCCGCTTCTCCCGGGCCTCCCCGATGACGTGGCACAACTCTGCCTCTCCCATCTGCCTCCTTCCCTCCTCTTCTCCGTCTGCCGGTCATGGCGGCGCCTCCTTTACTCCCCTTCTTTCCCTCCGTTCTTCTCCCTCTACGCCCTTCTCTCCTCCTCCCCTGATTCCATCGATTTCTTCAACTTCGATCCCATCTCTTCCAAATGGACCTCTCTCCCTCCCCATCCTAATCCCCCCTCTCTACAGCTCTTGATCCACCACCCCTCTTTCCTCTCCCGCCACCTCCCCGTTCAGTCCCTCGCCGTCTCCGGCCACCTCCTCCTCTTAGCCGCCACCACCCACAACCTCCTCCCCGCCCTTCCTCGCCCTCTCCTCTTTTCCCCTCTTTCTAATTCCTGGCGTTTCGCCCCTCCTCTCCCCACCCCTCGCCGCTGGTGCGCTGCCGGCTCTCTCCGCGGCTCCGTCTACGTCGCTAGTGGAATCGGCTCCTTCTTCTCCACCGATGTCGCTCGATCCGTCGAGAGATGGGATTTGAAACCCATAGACGGTGGCGCGTGGGAGAAGGTGAGTGGGCTTAAGGATGGGAGATTTAGCAGAGACGCCACTGATGCTGTGGGGTGGAGGGGGAAGCTCTGTATGGTGAATGTGAAAGGGGATGCGCGGAAAGAAGGGTTGGTTTATGATTTGGAGAGGGATGAGTGGGAGGAGATGTCGGAGGGGATGATCGGAGGTTGGAGAGGGCCGGTGGCGACCATGGAGGAGGAAGAGATGTATGTGGTGGATGAAGTCACCGGAAGTCTGAGAAGGTATGATCCGGAAAGGGATTTCTGGGAAGAGGTAACGGAGTCAAATCGGCTGAAAGGGGCGGTTCAGATGGCGGCCGGCGGCGGCAGAGTATGCGTGGTGTGCAGCGGAAGTAGAAGGGAAATCGTGGTGGTGGATGTGGTAGCGTCGCCACCGCGGCTGTGGGTTGAGGCGACGCCGCCGGGGATGGAGGTGGTCGCCGTCCACGTGCTGCCCAGAATGAGTACCCCAAGGTCATGATGGTCCGTTCCGCGTTGTTTAATAAATTGATTGAAAAATAATATCGATAATTTAATTAATTGATGTTTTTGTTTTTGGAAAGGAAAGGAAAAGTGGACATTTGTCGGTTTAGAGAAAGAGCATTTGCCATCCACTCTTCAATGCATCGACTCCCGATTAGGGAATATTAATTTTACTGTTTTCTTTTTCTTATTTAGAAAATCATTATTCAAATTACAAAACCAAGCTTGGATTATTTATTTTATTTTATTATTACTTTGTTTTCCAATTCAATAGTTGTAAATAGATAATCACATTATGAATTTGTGAATATGAATGAGAATTAATGTGAACAAAATTATTTTGAATCAATAAAGTTCTCTATCCTTTCAACCAGAATGGGATGGGTTGAGTTGAGTTGAGTTCTCATTCACTGTTTTCGAGGTTGGGTTCTGGAGCTCGATTCTCTATTTTCGAGGTCCGTTGAGTTGGGTTCTCAAGCTCAATTCTCTATTTTTGGGTGATGTGTTGGGTTCTCGAGCTCAATTCTATATTTTCGAGGTGGGTTGAATTAGGTTCGCAAGCTCTATCTCTATATTTTTTTTTTTTTTTTTTTGTTGAGTTGAACTCTTGGGTTGGGTTAAGGAGTTTGCTAAAATAATCTACAAAAAGATGTTAAATTAATAATCAAAATTTCATAAAATTTAAATATAAAAAATTTACAATTTCTTCAGAGTGGGAATCTCCCAACTTTTTGGGATATGTTTAGCTTTTTATTTCATGATATATATATATATATATTGATAATTATATAAATACAAAGCTACTTTTCTTGGTTGAATTAATACATATTTGACCCATAAAAAGTGTCAAATTTGCCTTTTCATAAAGTTTATTTTTATAAATAAAAAAATATATTATAACAGTGTTAAAGGCATTACCTTACCTGCTCCACTCTAAAAAGAAGAAATCATACAGCAGGTAATGTCATCAAATAAAATAAAAAATTGCAAACTCAACCGTTCACTCACTACTTAACCTACCCGAGTCGAACCAACCACAATATGAGTTAACAAACACGATTTAAACGTTAACATTTTGGAAGTTCGAGAGTATTTTTTAAACAAAGTGTTAACGTTTTTTATTCAAAACTAACGTAATGGTATTATTGAGACTTTTCAAAACCGCTAAAGCCAAGCCAATCAGAAAGAAACAAGAAACAAAGAAGGGATGGCATAGTTGCAAATCCATGCAACTTTTATTTGAGAAACTGTTCCCAGTTAGCCTTAGAACAAGCCATGGAGTCAGGATAGGAACATTGATTAAGAACGCAACATAATCTTCTTCAATGCAACAATCAATGAGATTTAGATCATCACCTCGTAACTGTGCAAGATTCGGAGCGGAGTTTCCTTAGACACCGGCCTCTGTTCCGACCATAGCTCCAGGTTGACTGTTCCAGTTCCCCAGTAGACGAAACATTTGTAAACTTCCTTGACGTTAAACTTGTTGACTAACGCTAATCCCAAACATTTATCAACTAGCTTCCATTCACCTGGAATGTTGACTTTTCTTTATCAAGCAAAAGATTAAGCTAAACAAAACAAGTCTTTTTGTAGCTAAGATTCAGCCTCGATAACCTTCTCGAGTTTCGTCATTCAAGCATGAAATTAATAGATACAACTCTAAAAGTTCAGCACCAATTAGAATCGTTCTAAACCACTATGATTAACTTTACGCACTTTTCAAAATTCATATATCTAATGGACATAAAACCTAAAGATCGGAGTCCTACCAGACACAGAAGAAGTTGAATATCATGCATAACAGGCTCTTAAAGTCCGTATTTATGAAACATAAAATCAGAAGTTTAAGGACGTTATTCGACAATATACCGGTAAACGAAAGAAAATGATTACCATTGGGTAAAAGATCTCCCTCGAAGTACTGCTCCCCTGATTCGGGCCAGATTTCGTGCACGGATCCGTCGACCGATGTGAATGAAATAAAAGATTCGGAAGGATGTAAAAGGTTAAACATTGGATGAACCCTTAAACAGACCAACCTGCAAAATTTTCAAAAACATATAGAATTAGGCAAATAAAAAGATCTCTTCTAGTTTTCAAACATCCAAGTTTTCAGTAATGATGGTAAAAGTAGTAGAGCTTATAGTAATATTTGGTGCAAACCTTGAGAAACCACCCGAACCAGCACCTACTTTGACAGCTACAATGCTGGAGTTAATCTGCAGTGCTTTAGCATCTTCCTTTGAAATGTATATTTTTCGTCTTAGAGCTAACCCTCCGTCAATATCACCTTCCAGTTCGAGAGATTCCTCGTCCCCATCAAGCTCGAATTTCCTACTGAAAAAAAAGATTATCACCTTCAAGGCATCCGTTAATCGGACTTTGTGTAATTTTTGGTTCGGTGTAATTGTTTTGGATTGAAGTCCGTTCTTGATTCTTGTAGTTTTTTGTGGACTCGTTTCGTGGGCTTGTTTTTTTGTATGCCATTGTACAACGTTTCGTTTTTTCTCGATAAAAACTCGATTTCTAGCAAACAAGAACTGAACTGGCAAAAGTGAATACTCTCCCTAAAGTTTATAAATATTTATGAACCATTTCACTTGTCAAGAAAGGTAGACATCTGTTATATGAGTTAATATTCAGAATCATTCAAGCAGAGGTTGGTAACTTACTCAATGATGCTATATTCCTCCGTACATCCAGCGGATCGGTACTCCGTACCACTGAACTCTTCATAACCATTAATATCAATCTTGCCTTGGAGCCACTGTATCCCTGAACTCACAGACAAAATGATATCAACCTATCTATTACATTTTATAAGTAAATAATGATAACCAAGAAAAAGATTAAAAATATTGTTTGAACTTGAACCGTTGAACTTGAACCATAATGACAAGTAGTTTTACTACTCTGACTCAAAGCGGGTACATGAACAAAAGAGGGTACACGAACAGGTAGTTTATATGTATGGAGTACGGTCATCGTTTTAGAGCAAAAGGGCTACTCCAGACTTATGAGTGTTACCCTAGGGCCTTTCCATGAGTCACAGCGACTCGATGCACACTTTGCGCAAGACTGACGAAGGATCTAGACATACGTGAAACCTAGACCCATGAAAAAACAGAAAACCTCTAAGTTGTGAACCTAGGAAGGATTGAGTACTCCTTAAAGGAGGTATGTTGAGGGTTAGTTAAACAGTGACCTACAAAGTTTGGTACAGATGTTAAGCCACAATTTGGCTATCACTAGGGGCAGTTGTGAGCACATAGCCTAAGCTTCTGTGTATAGAATTAAGTCCGACAAGAGCCTCCAAGTAGGTTGCTTACTAAGTAGTTTTATACTCATTCCATGTTGTTCTATTTTTTTTTTCACATGGAGTGTAGAATATTGTTGATGGCGGGAGCTTGCAGAGTCGTGCAGTTGCAAGGGGTGCCCTTTAGATCGAGTCACCTTCCTTCTTGTCATTTGATTATTATTTTAAATGCTACTTTCCAACACTTGTACATTTTTTGTAAACTATTTTTAATTTGACTCCACAAATATTACCTTTAAACTACTTTTATGTCGATTTTGAATGCATATTTAAACTTAAATTTTTTGTGTCTCTCGTTTTACCAAAAATAAATGAAAATTTTACCACTCTTTCTACCATGGAGTGTACGAGGCGACTTGTGATTCAAGGTATCAAAAACCAGGTCGTTACACTTTATTAGTCCTTCCTTGAAAGTACTTTTCCAAAAAGTTAACCCGAATCACCATTACTGATCTCGGATCATAAACTCAGTGGCAGGAATCATCTATGTAGGTCATAATCTAGGACCTTCCCTTAGTTTACCAACATATACTCTAGGATCTAGAAATATGATTAAACATCTAGATGTCATAACATCATTCCCTGTTACATTTTGATAGCAAATGAAGTTTTAAAACGAAAAGAAAGAGTTGTTATATTGAACTTTACAATAATCATAAAGTTGTTACCTGAAGGAAGGTGTGTCATGGAAATTATTCTACCACCAATCCAGGGGACTACTTTAACAGACCAATGGCCGCCTTTCAGTTCAATAGGAGTTTTTGAAAGTGATACGCCTTTATGTTCAGAAACCCCTTCAACATCTTGCAAAGTCTTGGCCCTTTCTGCGATGCATTTATTGATAAGCAATCCCAAGTAAAAATGGAAATAACAAGCCCATCGCTAACAAATATTGGGCTTAACAAATATTGTCCTTTTTGGATTTTCCCTTCTGGAATTCCCCTCAAAACTTTAAAATGTGTCTACTAAGGAGAGATTTCCACACCCTTGTAAGGAATGTTTCGTTCCCCTCTCTAACCCATGAGAGATCTCACAATCCACCCCCTAGGGCCTAGTGTCCTCGTTGGCACACTGTCTGGTGTTTGGCTCTGATACCAATTGCAACAGCTCAAGCCCACCGCTAGCCGATATTGTCCTCTTTGGGGTTTCCCTTCTGAGCTTCCCCCCAAGGCCTTAAAACGCGTCTACTAGGAAGAGGTTTTCACACCCTTATAAGGGATGTTTCGCTCCCCTCTCCAACCGATGTGGGATCTCACAATAACTGAAACTCAAGAATCCATTATTAGTTGGACCAATGACCTTAAAACTACTGAAGTTTACAATTTTTCCTTTGTCCCATTGAGCGAATTTATGATGGTTCAATAATACGTTGAACGTGACTATTGAATTACCCATCAATTCGAAAGCTATGGGTTAAGGTAAATTTAATTATATCAATACTTCAATACACCCGCTCACATGGGCTTGAAAATTTGTAGATGGCCTGACAAACGAAAATCAATATTAATTGGAATGGAAATGATATAACATGGGTCCGAACAAAAAATCTCCTTCACTAAGGTCATATTGAATTACGATCAATCTGAAAGTTTAAGCTAATAAGTTATGGTAAATTTAGTTATATCGACACACAGTAGCAATAAATTTAAGTTTTGGCAGCGCTTGTTTCTTCCTCTTGAAGAGTTCTTTAGAAAGCACGATCTTACGAGCATGGTGGCCAATTAGATAAGCTTTGTAACTCCTTGGGTTTAGGGTGTTTTCTCAGTTTTGTATATTTCATTTGTTAATAAAATTTTGTTTCCTATATAAGAAATGCTATGTTGAAACGTACTTGAAAGAGAAAAAGAGAAGAATGGAGCTGCAGTACCTAATCGATGATGATATTCTCGCTCGCTGATGG